TATCTATCTATCTATCTATCTATCTATCTATCTATCTATCTATCTATCTATCTATCTATCTATCTATCTGTCTGTCTGTCTATTTATCTATCTATCTATCTATCCATCTATCTATCTATCTATCTATCTATCTATCTATCTATCTATCTATCTATCTATCTATCTATCTGTCCGTTTATCTATCTATCTATCTATCTATCTATCTATCTATCTATCTATCTATCTATCTATCTATCTATCTATCTATCTATATATATATATATTGTAAGCAGGCAGATTGCAGATGCCACGAGAGAGCGATAGCGACGCGCAGCGCGCAGCGGCACAATATATCTATCTATCTCTCTCTCTCACATATACTCCCTCCTCTATCTCTCGCTCGCTCGCTCTCTTTTCTCTCTCTCTCTCTCTCTCTCTCTCTCTCTCTCTCTCTCTCTCGCTCCGTTCTCTCTCATTTCACACTATCACAATATAGATTCATTATTATACTCTTTTCAGATATTTCTTGTTACCAGCACTGCTTGGTCACCTGAGTCTCAATTTGATGGGGGAGGATACCAACAGATCTGACATCTTGAAGGTGGCAGAAGTGTACCACCGGGACTTCTTGCGGCGTTGCCATGACTACGGCGTGACCACGGTCGAGGCTCCTGAGCCGAGCGAGGACAGCGAACACCGGCACCCTGGGCGGCCGGACGTCGCCGCGATGGGCCGGCAGCGCGACGAGAAGATCAGGCGATTCAGGGAACAGAAGGAGAACGAGGCGCGTCTGGCTGAACTCAGTAGCGCGGTGGAGAATCAACGGGTGGACGACGAAGTAAAAGTAAGATGATAGAATATCAGGACAGTGGTGATAAAATCGAATGTAATAACAGCAGTAATAGATAGATGATTAAATAACTTCATCGGATCTCTATAATTTACATGCTAATAACCTACCTGGAAACGTTAGACCTGAGGAAGTCTGTCGGAGAGATGGACGAAAATTTCGTCAGAGTAAGTTATTTTGTACTGATTATGGATCTAACTGAGATTAACGTTATTAGCAAGTAATAGATAGGTTGCATGAGCATAAGAAGAGTCACAAGAGTAAGAAGGGTGGAAAGTGTGCAGGGTGCTGATGAGAGTGTAATGGATGAACAAGAATGCAGGTATTGAATAAGGTAGCATGGTAGAGGAGCTATTTGGAAGCTACGCTTGAGACTGATATGAATAGAAGACAAGTCGGTAATTGTTGATGAATAATGTTTTATTTTGTATATATATGTTATTTTTTAAAGAATTATATTTTATTATAAATTTTCTTTCAGAGAGAATTTTATTTGTTAAACATTCAGAAATGGATACACAATGCACTAGAGGACTTACAAAGCATTATCAGTAAGTAGTACTCCTTATATAGTTTTATTAACCTTTTTATTAACTGGCATACATGTGTCCCTATAAATTCTTGGGTGTTTAATCACATGCACTTAATCTGCTATTTGTATATGCAGTGGAAAAGCAGGTTTTAGAACACATGACCAAGAGGAAAGCGCAAGGCAAGGGAGAGGAAGCGGAGAAACGACCGCCTCCTAAAGCTGTAAGCTTCACAACGTTAATGTATGCCAACTCGATTCCTTGGCTTTGTTCCACATCTTTATGACCAGTATCCTTCTCTGTTGATGAACATGTTTCTGCTAATGAGCCATTTAGTTCTACATACATATACAGGGGTAGAAATTAACTTTTGAACAAGCGAGTCCAACGGACTCCCTACCATCAAAAAGAGGGAGTCCGCAGTATACAAGTAGTACTGCAGATATTAACAAAAAGGACATTTGCGATGCACGTCTGCCAAATTTTCTTGGGTCATTTGCTAAAAAAAAAATATGGTAATTCCGCGAGGCCGTGCTCTGGAACGAACTAGTTAGTATAGCAGAATTTTCAGGGAGTCACACGGATCCTGCATATGTCAAATCAGGGAGTCCGACAGTAAATCAGAGCGTATTTGACTCCGGACCCGCTTTAATTTCGCACCCTGCATGTAATATCTCTTCCTTTATAACCCTCGTAATTCCTATGGTTTTCTACTTTTGCATCGCTTGTTCCGTTAAATGTATTTATCGCTCCGTATCCATCTTTTTTGTGTCAACTCTGTTCTGAGATTGATTAGAAGAAATTCGCTGAGATGATTCATAGCTATACGTATGTACTTTGCAAGAATCGAAAACCTAGTAACTGATTTTTTGCAGACTTTCAAACCTGTTATTATAACAAAAGACAAGCTGCAGGCGGCCGTCTTTGGAGCAGGTTATCCTAGCCTACCCATCTATACTGTTGATGAATTTATAGAGCAACGTTATGGCAACATGGAAGCGGCATCACAAGCGTGAGTATGTGACCGTGAGTAGTAGCCCGTGGTTACGTGGCTCGTATCTGGTTTGCATTTTGTGGCGGTTAACAGATTCTAATCTCAACGCTGAACTTCCATTCATGAATTTCTTAATTTGTTTGACAGGTGCGTAAGCCATGTATACATGCTGAGAAAGCCGGTGATGACGTCAGTGATTGTGAACTCGATATGAGCCTGAAGGTTTAGATACTGATCTACCTGGAATTTGAGACTACTGTAATAACAGCATGTATTTATTCGTGTTCAGAGGTAACAGCTTGATGGATAGAGCAATGAACCCAGAGGAAGCAGCAAACGACGATGAAAAGGAGGCTACAGAGAAGGAAGAAGCACAGGAGAGAGATGATCCAGCTGCCCTTGGCAAAGCTCGTGATTGGGATGAGTGGAAAGATGGTCAGTGTCAGAAGGGTTTATAAATATACGGATGACATACGTGCGTCCGTGGAAGCAGACACGATAATTATATCGATTATAACAAACTCACTGTTTAAGTATTCATTATATTTTTTTGTTTACCGAATGAATTGTAGTACGATGCTAATACTGTATTCTTTTTATATGTCCCTCAGATCACCCAAAAGGCTATGGCAACAGAATGAATCGAAGTTAGTCAAGCAACCGAGGACATCTGCCATTTTCCATTTCCCCTGGCAGGTTTTTCCAAAGACACTCGGTTTTTCTGCAGTGTAATGCAACAGCTGAAGATGGATACTGTGTGGCACTCTCCCACTCAATAACTAATCATGATTCATCCTTCCTGCTTTATAGGCAATTATGTAGAAGACTAGTGAGAAGAACAGCATAAGGGTTATGACATGAGGTTAAATTTCAAGGTGAACTTGGCCACTTGGGACTTCTGCTTAGATCTAACGTCGGCATACCAACATTTAACTGACCATTATATCAGGAGTGAATGAAATCAAATTTGGTTTGATTCACGCCTCATAATTATTATATCACAAGTTCTCACTTCCCATCTTAAAAGTTGCATTGCAACGAATATGTACTAAAATGCTTCATGGTGATGTAAGGTGTTATGACTGTAGTTCATAGCTTGCAAGTAACTGTTGGCTTCATTAACAATCTGGAAAGTGTATGTACTGGTTTATTTACATAAGTGATAACTGCCTGACTGCAGATAAGCGAAGTACAAAACAGAGGACTGCTTCACAGATGGACTATTGAGTTTGATTAGCATTGTTGTATTTTATTCCCCTATTAGATTGTATTGCGTATGGTTAAATGCATGAATCGCAACTCATCTCCATTGCATTCTGTCAAAGATGCCTGACCAGGATATAATACACAGCATTTTGTAACAGTATCTCGAATTATAAGAAACAATAAACCTGCAGATTTGTTTTGTTATTTAAAATTTATTATTGTTACTTAAATAACTGTAAGGGTGTTTTCTATAACGTTTACAATTGCTTTAGCTAAAATAATTATTCTTACGCATGATTAGGAGTTAATAAGGTGGATATCACCTTCAAATGTTTGTCCTGCTGTGCACAGACGCCACTGTTGAGTCGTTAGTACAACAATATGCAGTTAGTCAATGAAAAAATACTAGGAAACCATTCGTTATGGCCAAAGCTATCGCACAGTGTCACTGCCAACAAATTATGCAACTGATGCAGATCTGATAAATATTTCATAGAGTGGTTCACGACTGCCTTTCACTTTAACTTGGCCAATTGTAGAAAAGTCATGTTCTTCTGAACTTGTTCATCACGTGCTTATGAAATAAGCATTATATATATATATCAGAAGTAGATAATAGGGAATTATTATAACTATAGGGAACTCCCTATTATCTACTCCTGATATATATATATATATATCATCGTGGTTAAAATCGGCATTTTGTAATGAAAAAGGACTAGTTGTCATTAGTCTAACTTTATACCAGATGGGTCACACTCCCCGTTTCCCACTACCCATCACCATTACACAGATTTGTAAAAGCATGACATAATTTTTTCCCATTCTAACAAACGTAGGACTTCCACGTAGAATTCCTTCACCATCCCCCACGTCATTGGTGTACGTATATCTCATCGGTTACAGACAATTTGTTGGTCATCTAGGTAACAGGTTGAAAGGCTTTGATTATTAAGTAACATTCGTCTAAATAATACCATCACCAGCTAATTTATCATCACTAGTCTGCAATAAATGAATATCTCTGGCAAAGAAAAGAGGACACGGTGCAAATGACAAACGTTCTGATATGATACCATAAACTGCTACACTGGGCACATAATCTGCTTTGCCAGAGAAATGCAGATAACGTCCTACAATTCCCGCATACGTACCTGATATGCTATATACTATATTACTTAGTCAACTCATTAAATATTTTTCCTATTTTGACTATAATAGTACGCAATATTGCTAATATAACGATATATAATAGAGCAATAACGTACATGTATATAGAGCTCAAGCTCTTTCATGCAACTTCTACCTCTGGGAATGACCATATTAAAAGCTATATATACACAGTATGCAAATTCAATATACAGTTCAATATCACATCAATCAAAGACTAGCCACATGCTTGAGGCATTGGTCCCACATGTGCAGACATGCCCGTTAGTGCTGGCCCTTGAGGCAAAACACTCAAATGTGGAGAAATGAGGTTACACGCTATTTGATAAGATTTCAGATTAAGGTCTTGGTACTGTAACTTTGCACTATGCTATGGTCTAGATCTCGACAATAATTTTATGACAGGAATAATCGGAAGGAAGTAACTCGTGACCTTGGCACAAGTATACAGTGGCTGCAATTCAGCTGACAGGTGTCAAGATATCGACGAACTAAAATACACACAAAACAGTCGCAAACTACGCTGAAATATATTAATAACCATCATCTCTACACAACATGTTTCAATGGTCAGTTGAATTATTTTTTGTGCATTTTTTTCTTCATTCCGCTTTTTATATTATAATATCCCTTACTAAAATATCAATAATTCAATTATCTAGTTTTTAAAATCAGCCGCCTATAAGCAGGCAATATCTGGATCACCCGAGAAAAGTATCGTGGTCTGTTCAGACAAGCAATCTACACAACACTACAACATTACCTGTAGCAACAAAACCAGAAATGCTGCATGTGAGTGAGTAGGATTACGGCATGCAACTATTCACACGTAACTAGCACTATGCGAAAAAGCATTCACTGTGATTCAACCTGGCATTTCGTCAATGCCAGAAATGGCCATGGTAAAACCTATGCACAGTAGTAGAGATGTATCGGTTACGGACCAAACTCGCTTCACTCGCAACACTTGTACTTAAGGGAGTTACCTATTCCACTTTTACGTATCACGCCACCAAATCCGTTTTACACATTACGCTGACGAAAAACGACGGGGAAAGCGTTCAGTTTTCGGCAATGATTGTCTGTACACACAGTCGACACGCGTCACCGTAGGACGCTAGACCAGTCATGAGATATCACACACGATAATTTCCCGCACGACAGTAGAGAAGCAGACCGCCACGCGTGCCGCGACCACGCGCTAGCAATCACGTCCTCCCGTTAACACTCACCCCCGCCGACGGTCGCTACCGGCTACGGTCGCTACCGGCTACGGTCGCTACCGGCTACGGTCGCTACCGGCTACGGTCGCTACCGGTTACGGTCGCTACCGGCTACGGTCGCTACCGGCTGCGGTCGCTACCGGCTGCGGTCGCTACCGGCTACGGTCGCTACCGGCTACGGTCGCTACCGGCTACGGTCGCTACCGGCTACAGCAACTCCTGGAGCGGTAGCGCGGGGAGCAACGAGTCGACGCTGTTCACCCAAAAGTTGGCACAGGTTGCGTGGTACTGCCTGCCTCCGTACGACAGCTTGCTCGTGTCCGTCGGATGGTCAAACGCGCGGCTGCGCTGGTCCACGCTCAGCAGGCAGACGCCGCACGCCTTGCTGACCCCGTGCTCCGGCCGCACGACGCAGGGCGAGAAGTCCAGCGCGCTCGGCTCCGGCTGTGAGACGGGAAAACAGGATATTATCGGCTGCTGGATGGGAATACGGGATATTACCGGCTGCTGGACGGGAATACGGGATATTACCGGCTGCTGGACGGGAATAGCAGATATTACCGGCTGCTGGACGGGAATTACAGGATATTTACCGGCTGCGCAACAGAAAACAGGATATTACCGGCTGCAGGACGGGAAAACAGGATATTATCCGGCTGCTGGACGGAATAGGAATAATTAGCCGGCTGCTGGACGGGAATACAGGATATTACCGGCTGCTGGACGGGAATACAGGATATTACCGGCTGCGGCACAGGGAAAACAGGATATTATCGCTGCTGCGACAAGGAATACGGGATATTACCGCTTGCGGCAGCGGCGGAAAACAGGATATTATCGGTTGCTGGCTGGGAACACAGGAAGGGATGGGTAAACGGGATATACTACTGGCTGCAGGACGGGAAACAGGATATTGCCGGCTGCTGGATGGGAAAACAGGATATTATCAGCTGCGCAGCAGGAAAAGGGATATTATCGGCTGCAGGACGGGAAACAGGTATTTACCGCTGCTGCTGGGAACACGGGAAGGGATGGGTAAACGAGATTATACTGGCTGCAGGGGGAAAAACAGGAATATTACCGGCTGCTGGCTGGCGAACACGGGAAGGGATGGGTAACGGATATTACTGGCTGGCAGGGCGGGAAAACAGGATATTATCGCTGCTGTGTCAGGCATATGGGATATTACCGGCGTGCGGCACAGGGAAAACAGGTACATTATCTGCTGCTGGACGGGTAAACAGGATATTGGCCGGCTTGCAGGACGGGAACACGGGATATTACCGCTTTGCTGACGGAATACAGGATATTACCGGCTGCTTGGACGGGAATACAGGATTATACCGCTGCGGCACAGGGAAAACAGGATATTATCGTGCTGCTGGTAGCAGGAATGACGGATATTACCCTGCGCTGCGCACAGGGAAAACATGGATATTATCGGTTGCTGGCTATGGGAACACAGGAAGGGATGGCGTAAACGGCGATATGTACTGCTTGCAGGAACGAGAAATCAGGATATTATTCAGCTGCGGCATCAGGAAAACGGATGAATTCTCGGCTGCGGACGGGAAACAAGGATATTATCGGCTGGCAGGACGGGAAAACAGATATTACCCGGCTGCTGACGGGAAAACAGAGATATACCGGCTGCGGCACGGAAACAGGGGAATATTATTCAAACTGCGGCAAGGGAAAACAGGAGATATTATCGGCGCTGCTTGGGAACACACGGAAGGAGGATGGTAAACGGGAATATTACTGGGCTGCCGCACAGGCAAACGATATTATCGCTGCTGGCTGGGAAACACCTGGATATTAATCAGCTGCGGCGGCGGGACAAATGGGATAATTATCAGCTGCGGAAGAACACCGGGAAAACGGGATATTGTCGGCTGTGGCACGGGAAAACGGGATATTGTCGGCTGTGGCGGGGGGAAACGGGATATTGTCGGCTGTGCGGGGGAAACGGGATATTATCAGACTGCGGTCACGACAAACGGGATATTCGTCAGCTGTGGCATGTGGAAAACTGGGATATATGTCCGCTGGTGGCAACGGGAAACAGGATATTGTCGCTGTGGCACGAGGAAAAACGGGATATTTCGGGCTCAGTGGCATCGGAAAACGGCGAATTGTCGGCTGTGCACGGGAAAACGGATATTGGTCCGCTGTGGCATAGAAAACAGATATTGTCCGGCTTGTGGCGGGGGAAACCGGGATATTGTCGCTTGTGCACGGGAAACGGGCGATAATTTAGTCGCTGGTGGCGGGGGAAACGGGATATTGCTGGCTGCGGCACGGGAACACAGGATATTACCGGCTGCTGGCTGGGAACACAGGATATTACCGGCTGCGGCACGGGAACACAGGATATTACCGGCTGCTGGCTGGGAACACGGGTGCCAGGATACTATGAGAGGTGCCGGGTATTGAATCACAGGACATTCACACTCACACGTGCGACAGCTGCTGCCACACTACATTCCCTACAAGTTTTCATGTGAGTTTTGACATGTGCCGTAGTTAGGCATAGTAATGAATGCAATGATGCGATAATATAATAGCGGCAGCTTCGATGTTTGCATTTATTTTTGTGCCATAGCACAGGAAACCTGTGCCACAGTACAGTAAACTTGAGCCACAGCACTGAGCCTTTATCACAAACAGCTCTAGCAAACCTGGGCTACGTTCATGTGTACGTACGTTGTATTGATCAGCATCAGTAACAATGCAGCGCACGCATTATTTTCCCCCTTTTTAACCCCAGCTTCGACAGTTGCAAATCTTTCGCCAATTTGGAACCGCTCTGGCAGCCGAAACCGTCTGGACCATCGAGCATCCTTAACCCCAACAGTCTCTAACCGCGCGCAGCCGCGAGTGAATGAAATTTTGTGATAAAGACTCGACAGTGAATAACACTGAAATCGTTTTTAAGAAGCACTGGCCTAAACCGTCCTGATCAGCGAGGATCCGTAACCGCGCGCAGCAACTCACCATGACCGCGCTGCCGGCGATGAAAGCAGTCAGGTTCGTCCACAGCCGGTTGATGTCCTTCACGACGGCGGCTAGCTCGGACGAACCGATGCTGCACGACTGCAGCGACAGCATGACGCGGCACGCCACGCGGTAGATTTCCACCACACCTGCACAGGTAGACAGCACACGTGATCATCACTCGTCAGGGGCGGATCTAGCTTTTAGGAGACGGGGGGGAGGGGTTGATATTTGAGTAAAGGCGTGCCGAAGTGGTGCCTAGGGTGGTCTGGGGGCATGCCCCCTCCCACCTGGAAAATTCAGGCAGCTGTGTAGTTACAGGGGAAATCCCCATTTACTATCAGCCTGCAGACTGACTTTTTCATTTTTGGCCCCATTTTACTAGAGAGTGGCTGAACGGGGGGGAGGGGGGCAACCCCCCCAACCCCCTCTAGATCCGCCACTACACGCCACTCTTTATTTTCTATTGCTGTTGAATTATAGTTAGTGCTAAAGTTTGGCTTATAGAATGTCGATCAAGCAGCAACACAGCAGGTGTTCGTTGCACTTGCTCTGTGCTGGGACTTGCTAGCGGCGCGTGGTATGCGCAGGGACGTTTTGTACCAGCCTCAACCTCGCTGGCTGTAACGCCATGTTTTTCGAATGAATAAAGTTGTATTAAACATATTCTCTTTATCAGTTATTGTTCTTCGGACAAGACACAACAGCTCGCGTTCGTTCCCCCCGCAGCGAGGAAGTTTGGCGTACACTGCACAACTCGTAAGGGGCAATGCGAAACTGAGGTCGATCTGGCTAATTTTTGCAAATACGATACGTGGTATCATGGGCCGATACGAAACTAAAGCCAAACTTATTCATATGCGTGCATTAGCACGGTTAATTCCGCTAACAACACACGTGGTATCGTTGGGCGATCAGTAATTGAAGTTGATATTTACAACGACAGGTTCCACGCACACACACACAGCTGAAATGAGATCAACATATGTGACAGCATAACTCAAATCTAAAAAAAGAAATAATGTAAAAGGTCGTCATGAAAAATTATATCGCAGTGAAAAATATTCCTTCCTTGATAAAAAAACATTTTAAACCAGACCCTATACATACTCGAAACATTACAGAATAGAGAGACAAGCACACGCACGCACGCACGCACGCACGCACGCACGCACGCACGCACACACACACACACACACACTGTAGACAAGCATCGATGCAGTGTCAGTAGGTATAGAAGGTGAGACAGCTGTGTGGAATAATCACAGTTAGGCCAAAACAAAATATAAGTGTGGTTACCCTTACATGCCGAAAAAAATAGGGTAGGTAGGTAGGGAAAACATTTTATTTTCTTGAAATATTTTATTCACGAACCATGTGCGTTGTGCCTTTTGAAGCTGGAACTGTCCAATTAATTTTTTTTTTTTTTTGACTAAAGAAAATTGACAATAAAATGTTTAGGGTCGCTGGGAATAAATAGGGTCGGTCGGGAAACCGTAACCACACCCATATTTTGTTTTGGCCTTAGGCTTAGCGCTGCGCACACAACAAACGACTTGCCAGCTGCCATCCGCACTTACTGTCGAGATACGCGCTGCCTTGCTCCGAACGAATCAGCTCACTACAGATCGACGAACTACTGATGTTGTTGAAGATCTTGTTGCTATCCTTCAGCATCGATCTGCAGCTGCTCAGGCATCTATTCCACTCGTAGCCATGCTTGTCGCTGTCCTGCATCGAGAAATAGAGAATTACACCCGAGTACAACGCACCTGTGATCAGTACACCTATCCGCACAGACAGATGCAGATTAATGACACAGACTGTCTAGACATGAGTATAGACTTGAGTTGACATGGTATAAATATTTATTTAATAACCTAACCTTTGTAAAATATTCTTATTCTTTTCTTTCGTATTAATTTTTCTGCATAATTATTTAATTCTTTTATATTTTATTATTAATTTTTTTATAATACACATGTTTTTACTTGACGGAAGTAGAGTATAGCAAACTGAAATCAAACGTATCGCACAAGTTAATTCAGTTCTTGAGTTTATGATCGCCCCGCAACACCGGGCTAGAAGTTACCTGTGGGCGAGTGTCACCCTCGAGTGCGTGTAGCTCGCTGTATTTGTCTACAAGGTCTGGCCCCATCTGGCTGGTCAACAACAGCGTGCTCGGGTTGACAGGTCGAGGAGCTTGGCAGGATTCCAAGGCATCAACCGGAGCGGAGTCCTTCTCCGGAAGAGAGGTTCCATCGTTCTCTCCACTGTCCTCTCCCTCCACAGAAAGTGACTAAAATGGACGTACATTAGCTCAGAATGATGTTACAAGCATTAAAAATACGCTCGACGCTGATGTCAAGACATCGCATTACAAAATAAATGGTCCAAACATCTAAAATCCTGCCTAAGGACATTTGCGTGATGTCCTTAACTATCTTCATAATTACATTACTATTACTGCATACATAGTGATATATTACACTGTTACATGTCACAGACATACCGAACCAGCAGTATGCATGCTAATAATGCATGCTTAAGCTCTCCGCCAGTTTTAATTAAGTAAAGCTTAATGGTAATGATTAAGGCTTTAACAGTAATGATTAATGCTTTAACAGTAATGATTAATGCTTTAACGGTAATGATCAATGCTTTAACGGTAATGATTAATGCTTTAACAGTAATGATCAATGCTTTAACAGTAATGATTAATGCTTTAACGGATGGTATACTTAGGGCCGGGGGGCCGAATCAATAACTTCCAAGGAAAAACTTGAAAAATTTTAACTTTTGTTTTTGGGCGATAATGACGAGTTTTTTGTGGATTTACCCCAGTTTTTATTGGCTTTTTAATAACTTCTCACTATATCCCCGCTTCCAAAGATCTAAAAACATGGGTTTTGGGTAAAATAATATTATTAAGAAAACATTATGAAATAATAAAAAAATAAATTAATAAAGCAATTAAAAATTAATTTATGGCAGAAAAAAAAAATTATTCAACCGAAAAAGAAAAGAAGAACAATAAATAGAAAAAATATTTTTACCAAAAGGCTTAGGTTTATAATATAATTTAAATTATTCTTTTCTAATACCAATGAAATCCCAACTCCAAGTTCTATACCCCCATGTCCTAAGACCCCAGTCTCTGCATTTTTATTAGGGTTTTCCCCCATTAAATCTGCCCCAATTCTGTTCTGTATTGGCCGGGATAAGGGGTAACTTGATCACAGGGGTTTGGGCCGGGGTTGGTTTGTATAAAACTTTCGGGTGTTGGGTAATTTCCTCCTAATTTTGTTTTTCTCATGTAGTCTATTTAGTTTGTTACCTATTACCTCATAATTTTTGCCAGGTGAAGAAAAAAGGGAGGGAAAGATGGAGGATTTAATGGCTTTAACGGTAATGATTAATGCTTTAACGGTAATGATTAATGCTTTAACGGTAATGATTAATGCTTTAACGGTAATGATTAATGCTTTAACGGTAATGATTAATGCCCTAATGCGTTAATGGTAATGATTAATGCTTAGTGGTAAATGGTAAATAATCAAAACTTAATGCTTAATTTGATGCTTAAATTAAGGCTTTAATTAAACCTTTAAGCTTTCATTATCACCTTGATGCTCTTCAAGTCCAGGCTGGCCTCTGACAGCTTTCCGAGGCTCACCCTCTCCGAGTCGGACGAGCTCGTCTTATCCGCGCCGGGAAGCTCGAGGCTGGACACCGATTGGTCGTCGCGCGCCACCGCGTCCGTCAGCGGCGGCGGCCGGCAGCTGTACAGCGCGCCAAACTCCGGCAGCGCCACCTGGCGGCGGCCGTAACCAACGTTGGGCGGCAGCGGCACGTCGGTGACGTCGTCGCCGGGCGAGAAGCCGCCGCCGCCGCTGTCCGAGCCGGCCGCGAACTCCGACGGGAACCCGTCGATCGAGCCGCCGCGAGGGGGAGCCACCGGCGGGGGCGCGTCGGGGCTGTCGTCGCTGTCCGTGGCGCCTCCTGGCGACGGTTTTGCGCCGGAGAATGTCGGCGAGCTGTCGCGCAGCTTCATGAACAGTGCGTACTTGTCATTGAACCCCGGCTTGCCGTCATCGGCCGCCGCCGCCGCGTTCAGCGTCTGCAGCTCCGTCGTCGACGACGACGGCGACGCGTACTGCGCCGCGATTTCCGCCGCTGCCGACTGCGGGGGCGCTGCCGGCGCCGACCGGTAGTCGGCGAAGTCGCCGAAGTCGTCCTGGAGGACGTCGTCGGTCGCGTGCACGGTGGCGGCGCCCCCTGGTGGCGACGCCAGGTTTGAGCTGAGGAAGTAGGTGAAGTCGTTGACGGTGTCAGCGACGGGCGGACTGCGCGGAAGGATGCCATGCTGCGAGGCCATGTGCGCGCTGAAGCCGATCTCGCTGCTGATCATAGCTGCAAGGCGATGTCACATAATGTCGTTAGTCGCGACCGACGGCAGAATTCAGGCAATGCAGCGCTAATTAACTAAGGTTAATTAACTAATTAATCTAGTTAACTAACGTTTTAACAAAGGCGTTCGTTTTTGTCTAGCTAACTAACGTTTTAACAAAAGCGTTCGTTTTTGTCCCAACTACCTAACGTTTAACAAAGGCGTTCGTTTTTCGTCTTCGTCGTTGTGGGGTGCGCGTGCTGTTGTGCTTAAATGCTCCGAGGATTTCGGAAAAAGCAATAATGCACTACTGTATCGATTTCTTGAAAGTCCCCGTGGCGAAAGTTTGCCGTAGTAAAATTTATGAGAGAATCACAGAAGAAACAAGCATACACAACAAGCAACACGACAAAGCGATAACCTGTGTCATACTGGGGAATACCAACAGATGAACGTGACATAACGTACACACTATCAATGTGACGGCACGTACTAGCATGTACAACCAGTAGACTGCGGTTAAACCGCAACTCAGCTGCTTTGCTGTGAGCGATGAAGGCCGACTTCAACCTAAAACACTTGACGACTTCAACCTAAAACACTTGCCGACTTCAACCTAAAGCCAGTGCTCAATTTTAAGGTTTTTTTTGGGTGGTCCGCAGGACAACCAAGAGAGTAGCATATGGTTGTCCCTCAAGAATTTTGGTTGTCCGGATATTATGTAAACATGTGCTGCATGCGCTCTGCTCACGTGATGCTCAGTGCTGTAAAGCAAAAGGCCTAATCATGTACATTTTGTACGTATTGCAGTGACAGCAGACATGGCCATTCGCATTTCACTCATTATATTGTAAACATGTGATGTTATACTTTGTATCAAGGAAGGCAGACAATACGTCTAGACATGTACGGTT